GCACAGATAGCCCCTACTAACTCCCTCACAAACACACAATTTCAGATGGAAAAAATGTCAAATGCATTTCTTGTACTTTCCATACATTTAATAGGTATCAAAAATTGGAATCAGGAGATCTAAAATTTTGTCCTAATTCTGGCCTAGTCCGCTGCAGGAGCTTCAGCAAATCATTTAAAATCTTTGTCCTCGGTTTCCTTATAATGTAAAACATGATAGGATGAGGGATATTTGCAGGCAACTGACCTAATTGGTGTAGAATACACCTTATAGAATAATAGGGCGTATTTCTGAAGACATTTAGTCAGTCCCATGATGCAACAAGGGTGTCTGCATTTAAGTGTGGCAACCTTAGGAGGAAGTGTGAAAGTAATGCCTAGCACAGTAACTGGAACATGAGAAACACTTTATAAGTATGTGCCATTTGGGTGAATGCAGTTCAACAGACATGTGGAGAAAGGCGGGCAAAGGAAACAGTCAAGGCATAGTAGTGTAAGTGTGGGACTTTCAAAATCAGCTAAAACCTTACAAGTCTAATTGGCTTTCCTAAGTGCCTGTATTTTCTAGAAACTGGGAAATTGAAGCTGAAAGAGGGAATCCATCATCCCAATTTTAAAAATTTAATTTCACACAAATGTATCCCAGATTGAGCTAATAATTTCTTATGTATTAATAATGAACTTTCAAAGCGACCATATTCACTGACTAGTATTACCCCTTTTTCCAGAGGTGACATGAAAGTGTGAGAGAGGCTAATTAACATGCAAAGAATTGTCCATAGAAGCACTGAGTTCTAACTGTGATCTGCCCAGGTTGAATCTTTGAAGGTGACAGCTTTGTCCTTTCTTTCCTAGAACTTACCAATATCCATAGAGTAATGGAGATTCTTTAGCTTCCTAGAAATATAGTTCTCGTACAGACTTGCTCACTTATTTGAAGTAGTAGTTTAGCAAAGCCAAAAGTTCTTTCTGATTCCAACTGACTTTCTTCCAAGCTCTGAGTCTATGGGCAGTCGCCAATGCAGAGGGCTGAGAAATGTGTTATAATGGTGCCTGCAGGCTAGGAATCTGGTCTGTGGGACATATTGTTATTTACAGAGTTGCCATGAAACTTGGCTGGAGACCTAGCCCTCTATATGGGAGCCAGACTCTGAGTGTCTTTGGCTAATCAGCATGCTTCCAAGGAGAAAAAAATAATTGCTGGTAAGCAAAGGCAATGTTAATCATTAGCTGTGTGGCATGTGCTTCCCCGATTACATTTCTAAAAGATCTGTCTGGATAATCACATTCTTTTGAAAATGGCCTAATTAATGTGTTTTGCTATTATTATATTTTGAGCATTGGTAATACCAAGTTAATCACTAAAGGCCTCCAGTTTTCCAGTGTGCAAAGATATCTTATTGATTGATGGGAATATCCGGAGAAAGTGACATGAACCAACAAAGACTGTGATGACTCTAGCTCTTGCCAAACTCAAGGAAGTAAACTGAATGTTTTGTGCATCTTCTTCCCTCACAACTTACTCTGGGTACGATCAGGAACATGTCCAAAACCAGATATATCTTCCTATATACATGTGCAGAAAGAATAAAAAATGTGGCCACCATGTAAAATTGGGTTTGAATCTCAGTCCTGACACTAACCATCTGTATGACAGTAAATATAAATATTCTCAACATCAGTTGCTTCTTCTTTACAATATGGGCTATAATTTGTGGCTTTAAATATTCTTATGAAAATTAAATGAAATGACGTGTAAAATGAACTGGCACAATAAATTATACTCAATAATTCATTTAGTACACAATAAATTATAATTTCCTTTCTCCATAACACTAGGCTATTGGTATGATGTCGCTGTTTTTATGTTTTATGACCTGGCAAGTTGGAGTCTACTCATATGGACAGTAGAACAAAATGTTGCAATTTGGCCTGTCCAGGATATGTGGTTCCCAAAGCTATTAGACATTTGGTGAGAAAACTAAAAGCTGCCTGGAGCAGTTTTAAGTAGCAGAACATTATGGCATCAGTAATAACTGCTGAAGCCCTGGATGCAGACGTAGCACTCACCATCACCAAGACTCTGGCCTCTCCCCATGGGGTCACATGACACAAGCCACCAATTACCTGCTACATTCCCTTCATCTATGAATGAGGGAGAAGTATTGAGTTGACAAACTGAAAATGAAGCCATCTTGCTAGACCTAATCCAGATTTGAAAGAAATGTGAAAATTATATACATTTATGACTTAGATAATTTTCCCAATAGAAAAGAATTTCTAAAATTAATACTAATACTGAGAACTTTTACTGTCAATAAATACAATAAATATTTGTATTTATGGGAAAAATAAATATAATTACTTTTATTGTCAGTTTATCCTATGACAGTAACATGCCAGTTTTATGCTTTTATTCTCTCTCACCACAAACATGTCAAATAGTTATTATAGTTCTGATTTTTAAAGAAAAAGAAACCAAGATATAAAAATGTTAAGTAATTCATAATATAACAATGGTTGAAGGTCGTAGAGTTGGGATTTGAATCCAGAACCCGTGCCTATTCAGAACCGAAAAGAAGAAAAGAGAGTCATAATATTTTAAGTCTGAAAGAAGCTTTAGATAGAGTATCTCCAAGATCCCTGGAGTTTTTGATCTTAGGAAATATCCAATTCTAGTTAATTTTATTTGGTTTTAATACTTTCCTGGGCTTTGAAGAACCATAGGCATTTTGGCTCTCTTGGATTACAGACAACTCACAGTAGGTCAGATGCAGAAAGTATGTCACTTGAGAAGAGTCAAAGGCCATCAGAAATAACCCTACTCCTCTTAGAGGAATCAGAGATGCTCTGGAAACATATAAGGGAATATCACAATTGCTCAGTATCTTGAGACTCTCTAAAAAAAAAAAAAAAAAGCAACATTTCCAATTTTGTCAGCATTTCAAACCTCATTTCCCAGATGACAAGCGTTGTTTCAGCTTTCTGTACTTACAGCCTGAGCCAGTCAGGATTCATCCACCTTCTCACCCTTCCCAGCTTCTGGGCTCAAACACATTCATGTAGTCAGGCTTATTGAGCAGGAAATAGAGCACTTGGTGCCCTTTTTTGTATAAGAAATTTCTTGGTTTTAAATTATTTTGTTATGAAAATAATGCATGCACAGGTAATAAATAAATAGGCAGAGCAAAAGGACTACAAAATGAAAAGCTAATTTTTTCTACACATTGAACCCAGTCCCTCTGCTCAGTCAATAACTATATAGGTTTTACAGTATGTTTCCAGAGAAAATTATATATATATATATATATACACACACACACACACACACACATACTTTTTTTTCTTTGCTGAGGAAGATTCACCCTGAGCTAACATCTGTTGCCAATCTTCCTCTTTTTTAGCTTGAGGGTGACTAGCCCTGAGCTAACATCTGTGCCAATCTTCCTCTATTTTATATGTGGGATGCCACCACAGCATGGCTGACAAGTGGTGTAGGTGTGTGTCTGGGATCTGAATCTGGGAATGGGAACCCGGGCCGCCGAAGCGGAGCGTGCTGAACTTAACCAGTACGCCATGGGGCCGGCTCCCCACACGTACTTTATAAACCGTATTCTGTACAAACATACACTTGTAAACATATTATTTTTATTTTTACATAGGTCCATGAGCATTTTAGTTATTTTAGCACTTTGTTTTTTCATGACATGTATCACAAATTCACATGAAGAGTGAAACCAAAAGTCTCAATCTCTCCCTCAAACCTAATCAAGCAAACAACAATTTGAAAACAGAGAGAAAGAAGCATCACCACTACTGAACACTAAGGAACTGGAGTAAAGTATATTTTCATATTCTTTGAAATATGGAAACAAAGGGCGTAAATAAAAGATTCACATGTGGTACCCCAACCATTTGACCCATTTCTCAGAAACTATAACAGGGACAGGATATAGGCAACCAAATTCTGAGATTTCCCATTGAAGAAAAATGTACAATGGTAATCAAATCATCTTGGCAGAAAGAAATTATGGCCAAAAATTTTGCAAATTTGGAGACATACATCTACAGATTTAAGAAGCTCAGTGTACATCAAGTGAGCAAATGATGAAGAAAACCATACTTAGACAAATCATAGTCAATTTTCTGAAAACCAAAGATAAACTGAAAAGCCTTGAAGCTGTCAGAGGAAAATGAGACATTTCATAATGCTTGAATAACAATTTGAATAACTCATCAGAAACTATGGAGGCCAGAAGACTGTGGAATTACATTTTGACATGCTGAAAAAAAAAAAAATCCACAATTTCTTATCCAGTGCAAGTCTCCTTCAAGAATATGTGAAATAAAGACATGTTTAGATAGTACAAAATGAAGAGGATTTGTTGCCAGCAGACTTGTACTCAAAGAAATACTTAAGGGAGTTTCTCAGACTAAAGGGGAGTTATGTCAGATGAAATTCAGATCTTCAGGAAGTAATGAGGAGCAGCAGAAATGGTAACACCTGAGAAAATAACCAGGGTTTTTCTTAGTTTTAAAAAATTACATATGACTGCTTAAAACAAAAATTATAGCACTTTGTTGTGGGCTTTATATGCATGTAGATATAATAATACATGTGTTAGCTAGAGCATAGAGAAGAAGGATAAGTGAACTCATATGGTTATAGATTTTCTATATTTTACATGAAGAGGTACAATATTAATTCTAAGAAGACTATAAAAAACATACATGTGTGGTAACAACTAGAACAACCATTAAAAAAATGTAACAGGACATACCTAAAAATCCATTAGACAAATGAAAATGGAATTCTAAAAAAATCGAATAATGTCAAAGAAGTTAGGAAAGGGAGAAGAGGATTCTTTTAAAAGACAGTGGACAAAGAAACAAACAAAAATAATAAAAATAAAAATGTAGACTGAAATCCAACCATAACAATAATTACAATATATATTAATGGACAAAACATACCAAATAACAGTAGACGTTTTAAGAATAGATAGAAATGCAAGACTCAACTTCTTTACACTCACTATCTATAAGATAAAAATAGTGTAGATATAAAGACACATATATTAAAAGGAAGATATATATGTAAGTATCTTGCTTGAGAAGACTGGAGTGACTATAGTAATATCAGATAAAATTGAATTCAAGATAAAGAGCATCACTAGTGATAAATAAGGACATTTCATACAGTCAGGAATATCAATTCTCAATTCGTCAGAAAGACATAACAATAATAAATGCATATGCTTCTAATAACAGAGCTTTGTAATATGGGAAGCAAGACTTGACAGAATTAAAGGATAAATAGATCCAACTCTGTACTATATACAAGATAAACAGTTTAAATATAAAAATAGTGCATGAGATTCTAGAGCAGGCAGAACAGATTAAAGGTATAAAAAAATCAGTGCAGTAGCTGCTTCTTGGAGATAGGGACAGGGATTGACTTGGAAGGTGCATGAAAGAACATCGTGAGGTGATGATAGTGCTCTGCATCTTGATAGGAGTTTGGGTTTTACCTATGAATGCATCAACCTATACTATTAAATTTGTGAATTTAATTGTATGCAAATTTTTCATCAAAAAATAACTATCAACAAATATTGAAGTCTGGTTATTGATATACATGCTGAAGTATTTAGGGGGAAGTGTATTGACCTTCACAATTTATTTAAAAAGGTATTGAAAATAAGGTGGATTAACGTATAGACAGAAGAATGGATACATACGTGATAAAGCAAGTATAGTATGATGTTAATATTTGAATCTAGTTGTTGAGTATACATGTTGTACTGGGTTGAATAGTGTTTCCCCAAAATTCAAGTGCATCTGGAATCTGTGAATATGACCTTATTTGGAAATAAGGCCTTTGTAGATGTATTCAAGTTAAAATGAGGTTATACTAAATTAGGGTGGGCTTTAATCTAATGACTGGTGTCCTTGTAAGAAGAGGAAAATTTGGAGACAGACACAGGGGAGAACGCTATGTGAAGATGGAGGCAGAGATTGAAGCCATCTGTCTATAAACCAAGGAATGCCAAGAATTGCTGACAACCACCAAGAGCTAAGAGAGAGACATGGAACAGATTCTCCTTCAGTACCTCCAGAAGGAACCCAACATGGCTCCCAAATGGAGGAGGGTGAATGAAAGTCTGTTAATAAATGGAGTATTTTTCTCAGTCTGTCTCACAGTGTGTCCACTGCATCCATTTGTTACGTCCATAGATGTGTAATTTAAAAGAACATAGTTAGCAATTGGTCAAACTCTTATATTGGTTCCTTGATCTGTAGAATAAAAGTTATTATAATGATAAAGGCTTTAAAAAACCCTGAAACTCTTCCCTCTACCCTCACTAAGATTATAGATCAACAAAATATTGCATCCGAGGGGAATTGCAGATATTAGTACCTCAAAGACTTAAAGGATGAAGGGATGATAGCATATCCCCATTTAATTCACTAGTCTAGTCTCTACAGAAACAGATTATGGGAAATGACTGTGGATCACTGCAACTTTAATCAAGTACTAACCCTAATTGCATGGCTTTTGGATGTGGTATCTTTACTAGAGCAGATTAATGCAGCTTCATGCACTTGTAAGTGGCTATTGATCTAGTTAATGCGATCTTTCAGTATCCAACAGAAAGGAGAATCAGAAGCAGTTCACATTCACCTGGGACCCACAACAGTATACATTCAGTTTTGCCCTACAACCATATTAATTCACTCTGTCATAGTATAGTCTAAAGAGACATTGGCCGTGTGGCCATTGGCCATTGGCCAATGTCTCTTGATGGCCATTGGCCAATCACATTATTTCACTATATGGTTGACATCAAGTTAATCAGACCAGATGGACACAGCATGAGGAGCACTCTGGATGCCTAGGTAGGACACATGGGCTCCAAAGCTTAGAAAATAAACCATGTAACGTTTCAGGGGTCTGCCACACTGTGGAAGTATTTAGAGGTGTAGTAGTCTAGGGCATACCAGAACATAGTCTCTAAAGTTATGGACAAATTATTATATTTTGCACTTGAGAATACTACTATAAGCCTTTGATTGCTGTGGACGTCTTCTAGACTTATTGTGAGTTCCAGAGTCAGAAAAAATCTCTGGTGCTAGAAAAAGTCTCTAAGTGTTATGAGTTGAATTATGTCCTCCCAATATTTGTATGTTGAAGTCCTAACCTCCAGCACTTCATAATGTGAACATTTTTGGAGATAGGGCTTTTACAGAGGTAATCAAGTTAAAATGAGGTCATTAGAGTGAGCTGTAATCTAATATGACAGGGGTCCTTATAAAAAGGGGAAACTGGACAGAGCTATATACAGATATATAGAGAGAGGAAAGATAATGTGGAGACACAGGGAGAAGATGGCCATCTACAAGTCAAGGAGAGAGGTCTGAAACAGATTTTTTCTGACTGACCTCAGAAGGAGCTAACCGTGCCAACAACTCGATCTCAGACTACTAGCCTCCTGAATTGTGAGACAATAAATTTCCGTTGTCTAAGCCATCCAGTTCGCGGCACTTGTTGCAGAATCCCTAGCAAACCAATACGCTAGGTGACAGTGCAAGCAGTTCTACTGCTTGGGCCGTATACCTGCATACAAATGTTCATCTCAGATTTTTGGGGGGGAACCTAAGACAAACACTATTTAATTCCTGAATACTTCTGATATGACTTCAGTTGTCTTTAAAGTGTTCTTCCTCTGGTATCACAAGATGCTTCACACTAATCTTGTATAATCCTGGCCAAGAGCTATAATCAACCATTTTTTAAGGATTCTTAGATTTTTTTTTTAAGGAGAAAATATTATACAGAGATCAAATTTTGTGCTGAGGATAATCACTGTTACTGCTGGTCACTAGTTTTAGGCCTTTTCAGTGGTCAAAGAGCATGCCATTTTTTTAAAAAAAAAGCATTATAAATTCATACTTATATTTCCAATTAAAATTTAGGATCACAGAGATTTTGGTCAATTTCTTTGATTGCATATATGCGTCTCTTTTATATTCTTGCTTCCTAACAACATTAACATAATTTCTTTTGTGCTCCTTCTCATATTAATATAACTTTTTATACATATGATAGGTTAAATGACAATACTTATGTTCTACTAACAATATAACTGCAAACAAATTGCAAATTCTTTTGTCCTTAGTAAATTGACTATATTTCCCTAATCTTTAGTAGGATATGTTATGTTCTTTTAAACTCAAATTTTTTTTTTTTTGTGAGGAGATCAGCCCTGTGGTAACATCTGCCAATCCTCCTCTTTTTTTGCTGAGGAAGACTGGCCCTGGGCTAACATCAGTGCCCATCTTCCTCCACTTTATATGGGACACCACCACAGCATGGCTTGCCAAGCAGTACGTCAGTGCGCGCCCGAGATCTGAACAGGCAAACCCCAGGCCGCTGCAGAGGAGTGCACGCACTTAACTGCTTGCGCCACCGGGCTGGCCCCCTAAACTCAAAATTTATTGAGTGCTCACTATATACTAGGCACTGTTTTTTAAACTTTTAAAAAAGTATGTTAGCTCATTTAACCCTCACAATAACTCTATGAGATAGATACTGTTCTTATCTCAATTTTACATATGAGGAAACTGAGGCATATCCATGTTAAGTATTTGTGTTAAATCATACTGCTATTATAGATTCAAGCATATAAATCAGCTGCTATTTGGATTCAAGCAACTGACTCCAGAGCAATGTTCTTTAATAACTGAGCCATACTATCAAAATATCATGACAGTATGACAGGCTGCAGACGTGGTCCAAATCAAATAAAAATAGGTGGTGAGGGGGCCAGCCCAGTGGTGTGGTGATTGATTTCACCCGCTCCACTTTGGCAGCCCGGGATTCGTGGGTTCAGATCCTGGGCAGGGACCTACACACCGCTTATGAAGCCATGCTGTGGCAGGCGTCCCACATATAAAGTAGAGGAAGATGGGCACGGATGTTAGCCAGGGCCAGTCTTCCTCAGCAAAAAGAGGAGGATTGGCAACGGACGTTAGCTCAGAACTAGTCTTCCTCACCAAAAAAATAAATAAATAAAAATAGGTGGTAAGGTCAGCAAGATGGTGGAAAAGGAGGTACCTTGCTAGTATCCCTCCTCAACAGTAATAATTTGGCAGCCATCCATTGATAAAAGAGCCTTTGTGGGAGCTGTGGGAGCAGAAAGGAGATTGTGACACCCTGGTGGAGCCCAAGGCCAAAAAGGGCCATTGTGAGACGGCAGACTCACGCCCAGATGATAGACACACAGAATGTGGTCCCTACTACAGACTCAGAAACAGCCTCATTTTCCTGTGGACTCAGTTACAGCCCCATTTGGCCTTTGTCCTGCCACCAGCAACATCTGCCAAGGGACCCAGCAGGAGTTATGCCTGTCCATACCCTGAGGCATGCCCTCTGACCTTGGTCCAACTACCTGAAATGGTCCTGTAACTTACAGTCAACTTCTCTCACCCGTGGACTGGGAACACTCCTGCCCACCCGGAGCCTTGTTGGGAGATATATAGGTCTGTGTTCCTGGAGGAAAGCCTGCTGAGTTCATTCCAACTGTGGATCTTGAAGTGACACTGTAGCCCAGCTCTGGCTCCTCACAACCATTGTCTGGGAGCAGTCCTGCCTGCCCAGGGACCTGGAAGGAGACACACCCATCTGCACCCCCAGAGGCAGGCCAGCCAAGCTTGGTCCAACTGTGGATCCTGAAACATCCCTGCAACTTGGCCCCAGTTCTTCTCCGTCATGGTTCAGGGGCAATGTTGCTCACCCAGGAACCCAGCAGGAGGCACTCCCATTCAAGCCACCAGAGGCAGGCCTGCAGACCTCAGTCCTGGCTGTGGACCCTGAAGTAGCTCTGTGACTTGGTTCCAGGCCCTCTTAGCACTGTTCTGGGGCCAATCCTGCCCATCCAGTGACCTGCTAGGAGCCTTCCCAGGGACCACAAGGGAGCCACACCCATGATGCCACCTACAGATCCTGAAGTTGACCCTTGTCCCAGCACCAGCCCTACTGAACAAGATCCTAGAGGCAGTCTTGTCCATGCATGTACCAGACAGAATTCATGCCCATAGGTAACTGGTAACAGACTCACCAATGTGGACTCCACTATGGATCCAGCAAAGCCACATGACCCAGATCCAATCCAGCTAGACTGCAATTCTGGAAGTAATCACATCAACCAGGATAATCAGCCAGAGAAGGTCCTTACCTAACCAGTCTACAAAGACTAGAAGAGATGTTTGCTCCTTCAAATGCACAGCCAACAACACAAGCCTACACACATCATGAGAATCAGGCAAACAAGACACCACCAAAAGAAACTAATAAAGCTCTAATAACTGACTCCAAAGAAATGGATATCTACGGATTACTCTATGAAGAATTCAAAATAATCATCTTAAAGAAACTAAATGAAATGCAAAAGAACACAGATAGACAACTAAACAAAATCTATAAAACAATGCATGAACAGAATGAGTTTAATATTGAAATAGAAACCATAAGAAAGAACCAAACAGAAATCCTGGAACTAAAGAATATGACAGAACTGAAAAATTCAGCAGAGAAAAATTAATAGAGAAAATTCAACAGAGAGTTTCAAGACCAGACTTGAACATGTAGAAGAAACAGCAAAGGCAAAGACAAATAATTTGAAATTAACAAGTCAGAGGAACAAAAAAAAAAAGAATTAAAAAGCCTATGTGAATTATGGGATACCATAAAGCAGGTGGATATACACATGGGAGTACTAGAAGAGAAGAGAAAGGTACAGAAAGCTTACTTAAAGAAATAAGAGCTGAAGGTTTCCCAAATATTGGGAGAGATGTGAACATTTAGGTACATGAAGCTTGAAGTACCTCAAGTAAGATCAACCCACAGAAGATTATTCTGAGACACATTATAAGCAAATTGTTAAAAATTCAATACAAAGAGAGAATTTTGAAAGCAGCAAGAAAAAAATGACTCATCACATACAAGGGCACTCCCATAGCCAATAAGTGGATTTCTTAGCAGAAACCTTGCAGGCCAAGGGAGAGTGGGATGATATATTAGAAATGCCGAAAGAAAAACATTGCCAACCAAGAATACCCAACAAAATTGTCCTTCAGAAATGAAGGAGAGATAAAGATATTCCCAGACAAACAAAAACTTAAGGAGTTCATCACCACTAGACCTGCCCTACAAGAAATGCTAAGTTGAAACAAGTTGAAACAAAAAAACACTAAGTAACAACATGAAAACATATGAAAGTATAAAACTCACTGTTAAAGGTAAATATATAATCAAACTTAGAATACTCTAATCATGTAATGGTGGTGTATAAATCACTGTTATCTCTAGTATAAAAGTTAAAAGACATACTATTAAAAGCAACTATAACTACAATAATTTATTAATGGATACACAATATAAAAAGATGCAAAATGTGACATCAATAGCATAAAATGTGGAAGGAGAAGAGGTAAGAGTGTAGAGTTTTTGTAAGCAATTGAACTTAAGTTGTTATCAGCTTAAAATAGATTGTTATAACTACAAGATGTTTTATGTAAGTTTCCTGGTAATCACAAAGAAAAAAACCTGCAACAAACAAACAAAAGATTAAGATAAAGGAATCAAAGAATACTACCACAAAAAGTCATCAAATCAAATAGAAAGATAGCAAGAGAGGAAGAAAGGAACTACAAAAAAGTCAGAAAACAATTAACAAAATGACAATAGTAAGTCCTTACCTATCAATAATTACTTTAAATGTAAACGGGTTAAATTCTCCAGTCAAGAGACATGGAGTGGCTGGATGGATAAAAAACAAGATCCAAAATATGCTGCCTATAATAGATTAACTTCAGCTTTAAGTATACACATAGGCTGAAAGTGAAGGGAAGGAAAAAGATATTACACGCAAATGGTAACCAAAAGAGAGCAGGAGTGGCTATACTTATATCAGATGAAATAGACTTTTAGTTAAAATCATTCACAGGAGACAAAATCACTATATAGTGATAATGGGGTCAGTTCATCAAGAGGAAATAACAATTGTAAATAAATATATACAGCCAACATTGAAGTACCTCAATATTTAAAGCAAATATTAACAGAACTGAAGGGAGAATTAGACAATATTTATAGCAACACAATAATAGTAGGACACTTCATATCCCACTTTCAACAATGGACAGGTCAGCCAGACAGAATATCAATGAGGAAACAGAGGACTTGAATAATACTATAGACCAAATGGACCTATGAGACATGTATAGAACATTTCATTCAATAGCACCAGAATATGAATTCTTCTAAAGTGCACATGAAACATTCTCTAGGATAGATCGTATATTGGGCCACAATTTAAGAAGACTGACATCATATCAAGTATTTTTTCCAACCACAATGGTGTGAAACTAGAAATCTATAATAGGAGAATTGGAGAATTAAAAAATGTGTGTAAATAAACACACCCCTGAACACCAGTAGGTCAAAGAAGAAATCAAAAGAGAAATTTTAACATACACAAATCAGTTGCATTTCTGTACACTAACAGCGAAGTAGCAGAAAGAGAAATTAAGAATACCATCCCATTTACAATTGCAACAAAAAGAATAAAATA